TATTTGTCTGTCCTCCTCGACTCCTCGCTCTTCACCGTCTGTCGTTCGTGTGGTGCGCGCGTATTCTGCTCCTCCGCCGTCCTTTTCCATCGTCTCGCCGCACGATCAGCAGAAAAAAGTCGGTGTTGCCGGGATCCCGCTACTTTAAATCCATATCGTGGGGAGACTTTGGAGCAAGGGTGCAGCGCGCAGTGGAAGTGTCTTGTATGTGGCTGGACACCTTTCCTCACTGGGGTTTACCTAATTGCTTTTCATCCCATTCGCAGAGAACTTCCTGCTCCGAAAAATCAGGTATCGCGACATGCTACAAGCCACTTCGGTACGGTCTCGTCTTGTCTCGGCTTGATGTCCTCAAAGATTATTGCCCCTGATAATCATTTCGTCAGCACCGGACAGACAGAGTCGGCCCAACGGTCACAAGCATTCGAGCAGCACCCATCCGAACGAGTGGGCATCGACCCAGCCAGCCAGCCCTGCAGTCATACCAAGCAAGCTGGCGGCGCCGTCAAGCAAGCTCCAGACACCCGGCCAATAGCGCGGCGTCGCTATTTGAGACCTTTGATGGTACGCAGTAGTCCGCCTACCTTGCGAGCTTGCCTGCATAGTACGGTAAGTGTATGACGAACTTGGCCCTGTCAAGCCACACCATCGCAGCAAATCTTCAGCTAGGGGAGCAGGGAGAGCTTCCCCTCCCCCTTCACACCCGTCCGTCCCCTGTCTCGAGCCTGTCTGACCCTGACTAGCGTGCAAATCCATCACCCATCCCTGTCCCGCGGGCGCATTTTAGTTGCGCCTAATTGCCTGTGGTGGGCCGCGCTCTTCACTGTCTCCTTGTGCCCTGCGCTGTGCTTGGGTGGTGTATGCGTTGGCCGACAGGCCCAGCTTCTTCTGCCAGCCCGTCCGCCCCCCAACCCAGGCCGGCCCAGTGCAGCAGACCCCAGCCCCAGTGCGAGCCGGGTTGGTGTCCACAGTTGCGTCGCTGGCTGTCCGCTGAGGCTTGTCACTGGTCACGCAGCTCCCGAGCGGCAGAAACAATGGATGGATTTCTGCTCGGGCTCATTCTTGGTTTCCCTTTCCCCATATTTCGCCCAACACCAGAGATTTCTGGCCTCTTCAACAAGTTTTCGACTGACCGTGGTTTGCAGCCGGCCGTTGTCGCAATCCAGACTTTCGCCTTCCCCGTTCTCGCGTGTCCGGAGTCGTGCTGTCCGGTTGGTGGACGAGAGCTGAGAGTTCTGTTGCAGCTGCTGCTAGTAGCCTAGCCTGGCACTCGAGACGCAGAGACGAGACGCAACCCTTGACACGAGCAAAATCTTGATCCTCGCTGCCCGCTTTTCGAGCTAGGCGCCCGGCACCATGGACCCAAGACCACCGCCACAGCTACCATTTTCGCGCAACGCTGCGTCGCCCTTCAGTCGAGCTCCTTTTCCACCATCATCGACGACATCATCCGCCGCCGCATCGGCGCAGTCGCCCTTTATGCCTACATCACAGCATCCACCGCCTTCAAATGCTCCATACTCGGATGGCCAGCGACGGCCGACCGACAGCCCTTACTACTCGTCGCGACCTTACCAACCCGAGGGAAGCTCGCACCCTCCCTCGAACCACAGCCGACACCCGAGCGCATCCTCGATATCCTCTGCGACCGCTCTAAACCGTACGATGCCGCCTCCGGGATCTCCTCCCCAGCCTGGGCAAACCCCGAGCTCCCATCAGATGGGTTCCTACGGTTTGCCCGCGCCGAGACCGCCCCCAGTGTCCGTTGGACCGCCGACAGCTTTTCCCTCGGGTCGTGAGCTCCCAGCTCTAGGGTCAATACCAAGAGCAGGAAGCACCGGCAGCTCCATGTCGATATCCTCAATGCTAGGTGGCCCCCCGCCACTTCGAGAACCCTCAGCGCCATCTTCATTCCCGCCGCCGCAAGGAGCGCCCAATGTTTCGGGTCCTCCATTCTCATCATCTCTCCATGCATCGCCTAGAATGAGCAACGCTGGTGACTACCCACCGTACCGACGCCCTCACACCCCTGACCATCAACGACTCTACGATGCACGCGATCCTAGAGCTAATTCCGCGGGCTCGCCGTCCGGCGCATACTCCACTCCCGAGATTCAGCGATATGGAACTCCGCAGGCATACCCCCAGCGTGGTCCTCCGATGACCACCGGCGAGCCGAGACGCGAGCATACGAGAATGCCCAGTGGCTCGATTCCTCCTCCACGACCAAGTAGTCAGCCGAAATCATTCTCCACGGCACCTCCACCGGCGCGGCCGATGGACATTGGTAGACCGGGACCGGCAGAGATATATGGACGACGGGAAGAGCTGGGACCTGGAGCAGAGTACAATCCAGAACGGCCAATCAGGGCTTTGAAATATGAGGATCCGCGATACATGACTGAGAGAGAACGACAAGAGAGAGATGCTGTAGAACAACAAGAAAGAGAGAGGAGAGATCGAGCCATGTCTGGAGGTGATCCTGGAAGGTCGCATCCGATGCATCAGGGAGAATACGGTGTGCAGAGAAACCAGCCGCCTCCATACGGTCGACATCCAGACCCTCGCGACCCCCGCGACCCCCGAGATCTTCGAGATTCTCGAGACCCCCGAGATATGCGGGAGCCAGGGCCATGGCAGAGGCAGCCGTATGATCAGCCACGAGGCCCATATGATCAACCTCCCCGAGGGCCTGAATACCCGAGCTCCACAGCAGCGCTATATGGAAGTCACCAAGCACCGGCCTATTCTCAACCCCCCCTTGATCGATATCCTCCATCTGGACTGCCTCCCCACCAAGCCTCTACTGGTCAGCCAGGGCCACCTCCTGTGCAACCGTATGAATCCCCTGACCGTCTCCGCATGGGCATGCCCCATCCACAGCATCAGCAACAGCCACCACCGCACCGCAGATCTGCGGAAGACGGCCCTCCGCCTCCATCCGTAGCATACAGTGGTAGCGGCCACTCCAGCATCTACGAGTCACCACGAAATCGACCTACAGAAGAGCTGCCGCCGCCCCTCCCGCACCAGCGAAGCTTTTTGGGCATTCAGGAAATCAATCGCAAAGGCCGCATATCACCCCTCCCCCAAGCTGTTCAAGGCGCTCAGCCTCAACTCCAGGGACCAGCCGGCGAGCCGGGCATTAAGAGTGAATTCGGCCGCATGTTCTCTGGGATTGGAACGGGGGTCAGTGGCATCAGCCCTATGACCTCTAGCTCACAGCTCCCTTTCACGAATGCTGGACTAGCTCGGCGGGAAGAGTCCGATGGGGCGCCACAAGAGCCCGCTGCGGATGCTCCTACGAAGTCTGGTCAAAATGGACGTGGCAAGCGTAGAAAGCTAAAGGAGGAGGACAGTAAGGGAGACGACGAGAGCACAGGAAGAGTCACGCCAGTGAGCAGGGTGAAGAGGCCGAAGACTCAACCACACCATCATCACCAGTATGTTGCCATCTCTTCGTCCATAAGTCAGCCTCTAATGAGATCCAGCCACCACCACCACCATCACCACCACCATGCACCCGATCAAATTCCGTCACCATCGACAGCGGGACCCACTCCATTCAAGAATGTCAAGGGATCTACTCCCATACCTTCACCGACTGGTCTTGCTAAGGACGTGCCCGTGACTCACCATCATCATCCGCCGCCACGCTCTACAGGGCATGCTCACGCCAATAACCACCCGGTAACTTCAACAGCCAAGGCTGGACCGCCTCCAAGCCCAGTTGCGGTTGTCATACCAAAGCCGAAGCAGATCGTTCTTTCTAAATTGGTGCTTGAAAGTGTTGCGGATCGGCCTCGGAATCATCTTGGGGACGTACTCTATGAACCCTTTCTCAAGCCCGCCCGAACGCAGGATCCACGCACCGGTCGCCCTCCTCGTCACCCATATAATTCTAACCCTAAACCCCTGCCTTGGGATCTTATTCGCGATAAGGAGAACTGCACACTCACTGTCAAGATTGGCCGTCAACATCTTACACGGCAGTCCAGGGAGGAAATCACCTCCAGAAGAGCCGTTTGGGGGACAGAGATATACACTGATGATTCGGATGTCGTTGCCGCTTGCATTCACGGAGGCTGGATTCGAGGTGAATGGACCGACGATGTCGACACGGATATGCTTGGTCTCGAAAATGGCGTCGGCGCCGTGGATTTGAAAGAGAGCAAGACAGACAAAAAGAAGGCGGCTGCATCAAATAGTCCAGAGGAAACTGCCCAGCAACCAGGCTATCTTACCTCGCCTCCAAAGACTGGGCCGGTAATTGTTCCGGAGGATCGCGATATGCATGTCACATTACTTATTTTGCCGCGCCTCGAGAAATACTCCTCCTCCACGCGCTTTGGCCTCATGAGTCGAGAATTTGGGGGGAAACTCGGGCGAGATGGCGCTCGGGCAGTCCATGACGGTATTAGCTTCATGATCACGGGCGTTAGGTTCGTCACGAACGGAGCGGGGGCACAAAGCCGTCTGCGAGGCAAGGCACGTCGTGAACGTATGAGAAAAGCTATGATGGAGATTGAAGGCTTGAACAACAGCAGCATTGTTTTGTCCGGCGTTAAGGGATGACGGCTTGTTACAAGATACCTCACCTCGAATGCTTGCATTTTGATTTGATTCAATTCCTCTTCATTCTATTTTGTACAATAGTGTAGCTATAATATGACACGACCAGAGCTATGAGCCTTATGACAATTTGAAGAGGTATATATTCATTTCAATCGAAGAGCTTGTTGTTTAATCGATGTCTCCCAGCACACTCCTTTGTTTGTGCGATCGTCGCAAGTAGCCCATAATGATAATACTCATGCGCCTCTCTCAGAGACACGGTTGCAATTTGCATGATGATCCAATCCAAGATGCGGTGTTCGTCCAGGCTTCAATGCTCGTAGGTATCCTGTTCTTTTTCAAGGCGTAACACATCTGGTCTCATTCAGCATGTCCGGTGCGGAAACAGTCTGCTTCTCATATGACAACATGTTGGCGTGGTGTTCTCAAAAGTCCGTCACTCGCCCGTTGTAGCTCCAGTCGCCCGCACTGCCCCATCGCAGCGGTTCATTCTTCGGACCGCCCACCTCGCCCGTCTTGGGATTGACGTCGCCCTCAAACTCGGGCTTGGCGCCGCGCCACACGCCCGCCGAGAGCTCCTCCTCGTCCTTGTTCTGCGTCGCCGCTGCTGTTGCGGTTGCGCTGCCGGCGTCGCTCGTGGGAGATGACACGTGCCGCGACGTGCTGGCTGGCGAGGGTGACGAGGCGGGCGTCTCGACGGCGGGCGTCTCGACAAAGCGCTCGGCGACGGCGCGCTGCAGGCGCTCGAACTCGGCTTGTTGCTCAGGCGGGAGCCGCGGCGGGGAAGGACCGGGCTGGAAGCCGGATGAGTAGTGCCGGATGGCTGGGAGGCGGACTAAGGAGAGGCGAGAGTGTAGTGTGAGGAGACGGCGCGAGGCCATTGCTATCCTTGGTGATGCCATTCCTGCGTGAATGTGTGAGAGAATATTGGGCGGGAGGCGGTGGCCGTTGCGGTTGTTGTGCGTGTCGCTGTTCGGAGTCGAGAGGTGAAGAGGCGATATTCGCGGAACCGCGAAAGTCACCCGAGTGTCAGTCAGCCAGGAGCTTGGGCCCCGGTATCAGTGACGGCATCGGAGAGGAAAGGCAAAGAAAAGATTAAGTGGGGCCGGGGAAAAGCTCCTGGGGTCATGTGCGCACGGGCCAGCCGACGACATCTACGGTAGGCTAGATCCGGGTCTGCAGCATTCCACGCCCCGGCCGCTGCCGGGGTGATGGGATCTGGCTGAAGTCGCTCTTGCCCCTATCCGGAATTGTTTCTTGGATCTGATTGCAAACTGCTTTGCTGCGATGTTACATTAGTACGGTTCCATTTTGGTGACCATCTCCTCCACAAGGGTTGCTTACCATGTAGGACGAAATTTCTAATCTCTTATCAAATTAGATAGAACTGGGGTTTTATGTTATCGAGTTTCTCACAAAGACCCCTCGCTAGAAGCCAAAGATTGTTTTTCCCCTTTTGCTATTACTGCCTGGCTCGCTTTCATTCTTGTCTAGATCAGTTCCCTGTCACGCTGGCCTGGTGTTCGGCGATTACTGTACAGCCTCACGCAAAGAGACAAGAAGGGTCCCTTGACGATTGGCCATATCACTGGGGTGACCCACGAAACTCCTCCCTTTAGATATCGGAGATGAAGAGGAGTCTCTTTAGGGGTAAAACCCTGCGACTTTGGTAGCGCCATGAGAGTAGAGAGCATAGAAGTTCACCATGGGACAGTTATGGTACAATATGCATTACATTTCGAGGCACGGGCATTCGTTGCTCTTGCCAAGCTTACATCTTTAAATGATGTTGAAATGAAGTAGCGACTAGGTTGACTTGTTCAAGCCGTGATCAGGCCTAAATATATGTTGGATAAATGTTCTGTAGCCAAGCCCCGTCGCTATCATGGCTGTAGGCTTTTGAGATTGTTTATCATAATACTCGAAAGCAAACAACTGTTCTGTGATTTTGATGACTTGCTTTAGCAACTTGTTCTCTATTAGAGTTTTCATGATTGTAGTGAAGTAGCAGGTTAATAACTTATGTCAATCATGGCACTACAGCCATGATAGCGACGGGGCTTGGCTACAGAACATTTATCCAACATATATTTAGGCCTGATCACGGCTTGGAGTCCCCATCATTGGGACTGGTGTACGTGCAAAGATTACCTCAAGGTCATTGAGCTTGCATGTCCGTCATCTCAAAATGCACATGTGCTTGAAGCGTCGTGTTTCAACCCCTAGAGCCTATAGTAAATGGACTCCGATTGTGTTAAAACACCCGATGAACAGCTGGGCATCCAACTCAACTGTAACTACCTGGAAGACTTTAGACGGCTCGAGTTTGGAGACAGTCATCAATCGATGCGTCGGCTGGAAAGCCCTGTGTTCTCGAATTACCTTTAAGGGTTCGCTTCGTTTTAATCGTATTGGTCTTTGAGTTATGGAAGCAGGAAGATTGAATTATTATTTCGTTTTGTGGACATAACGATGACACACTCGAGAGTCGTGTATTTCGGCGAGATAGTCCATCGTCAGATTCGTGATTTGCATGATCTTCCAATACAACCAGGTAGAATTATGGCAGCGAGTTCTATACAATCTGAAAGAGACACAATTGTCGATGTTCTTTGCGGGTCGGTCTAGGATATGTCAGTTTCAAGAAAGAAAAGTGGGATCTGTCATCAGTTGCGTAGAATGATAACCTATCTGTGTTGTTTATGCTGGTGAAGTACAGTCTGTAATCTTACTCGATGTAACGAAAGTCGAGAGACGTAATTATCGTCCTTTGACATCGAATCCTGATATTTTTGTGGCGATTTTCCCAGTAGAGAACTTCTGTAGGATTGATAGCCAAGTAGTTGCACAGACAGGAGAAAAAGGTGGCAAAGTCGCGAGTGGGAATACTGGGGGGCGTTGAGTGTCTCGGTGGCAACTGGGGATTCGTACGGGGCACCCATGGAGAGGTTTGGGGAGTTGTCAGCGGCATCAATTGCGGGTTCGATGAGCTCGCCGGTGTTCCGAAACCGCCGAGGTTCTCGAAGATAATGGGAGTACTTCTTCAAAGACTCTATGTCGCGTGGTAGAGCCCACACAGAGCTAGGCCGTTGCTTTCGGTCCGTCCTTGGCTGGCGGGTTCCCTCAGCGCCATTTCAGCCTATCAGTTGGCTTGCCGCCAGCTGACCACTTCTTAATAATGGGCACGGTAGCTGGCGAGGGCCCCGCGACTCTCCGCAATAACGCCGGCCAAACCGCCAGGATCTCCATATGGTGGCCCCCCGAGGCCCCCTCGATCTCCAGCCACTACCCCTGGCCAACTTGGCTTTCTTGGCCCGGGCCCTGGGGCTCGGCTCCCCTCCTTGGCACGCCTCGGCATCATCATAGTCTGTAGCTGCTCTAGAAACACCACAGAAAGGTCACGATGTCATAATCTTTTGCCTCAATGCGCCCCAAAGAGGCAGTGCCAACGAAGCGGTGCAGACGACACACAGCTCCGAGGGACCACCAGTCAAGAATTTGAATAATATTAGCATTTACACGAAACTAGATAATTACTGTCCCTACAGAAATGCCATTTGTGTTCAGCATTCTCATGAGTAAGCAGGAATTATGTTTTTCTTTTCGGAAGTGTGCTGCCGTGATGGTGGGAGCCAGTGCATGGGAACTATCGATAGCATTAAACCATCAATCGCCTCACAATTGACTTCGTCGAAACATCTACGTTGGAGCCGGTTCTCGTAACCGCTCATCTACATGTAGAATCACCAACATGGATGGGACTAGCCTCTGAGACAAGCTTCCAAACTTGATAGCCTAGTGTCGCATCACGCACACGCACACGGCGGCCACGGCTGCACACTTCCATTACACCGAGTATTCGGTCACCACTATGTTGCATTCATCTCCCGCGTCAAAGTGCTGCCGGGTTCATCAGCCGAAAGAACAGTCGTCGTCAGCAGCGTGAGGAGCGCCGCGAGATTGGGCAGGGAGGTGACACTCAATCTTGCATTATTTACTTGAGATCTTCCAATTGCAGGTGCATAATCCGTGATAACAGCGCAGCTGTAGCATGACCACTATACCTGCACTTACTGAAACGGCCCTTTTCTTCTCGATAGCTGCTAACTCATTGAACACGGGGTGCTGTGAGTAAACGCCGGGCGGACATCGGCCGTGATTGAAGCCCCTGCCCTGCGCGTGTTGGTGGAAGCGATCCCTCTGAACCACGGGCTTCTAGTGCTGGAAGTCACAGGCATCTGTGGCTGACGCGGGGCTCAAAGGGGCCCCGTATTAGTCCAGGGCAGTCTTTTCCAGATCATGGGATCTTGGAACGAACAAACTCTGCTGAGTGGTGCCCACAGCATTAACCTACGCCCACTATTAGCGGGCCACCGCAAGAATCATGAATTCGTGAAGCTGGGGAAGAACAGGAATTGAGACAGCGCTGGCCGCAAACAGAAATTCATAAGAATCATGAGGATTGGTAGCGCGCGCTGCCGCAAATGCCGATCGAAGCCTGCCTGCTAGGGGCAGTATCAGGAATTTTCGCCTATCTCCGGAGGGCCATGACTAGCGAGTCGTCCCAGTGATCTGCTGTGAGCAATCGGGCCAGTCGCGACATTTTCTGGTCAGGAGCCGCAACTGGGCTGGGCTACTCTAGAATAGTACGGCCGACTTCTGGCCAGACCCATAGTGAGGCCGAGTGCACCGAGCCCACCAGGGCCACAACGCCCACAGCAGCGTTTTGCTTACGAGTCCACACCGAGAGCAGACACTGAGTCGCCGGCGGGTCGAGAATGCGGGTCGAACGTGCGTGGGATGACTCGGAGGCCCACTAGTCCTTGGGGCCCCGTTTTGGCCGATTCGGGGTATGCCACCGGCCACGAGACATGGAAATCGGACTGCCCATGGAGACGGGACTAGAAGACATCTGGGACATCCCAGGGAAATACTGGGGCTCCTATTCCCCAGGTCGGGCTGCCGTCCACATGTATAAAACCGTTCAAAGCCCTCCGTATGTTGCTTGGCAATGTTCTACCATGCTCTGTGTATAAGTCACAACCTTAACAAACAAACAACAACAATAATCCAAACCCAACACCATGACGGGTAAAGGAGTACAACACGCTACGGCGGACGTCAACCGGACGGAGGCCCCCATCACGCTCAAGGCATACCTCATGTGTGCCTTTGCTGCGTTTGGTGGTATCTTCTTCGGCTACGACTCTGGTTATATCTCAGGAGTCAACGGCATGACTTATGTCATCCACATGATCGATGGCCCCGACGCAGACGTTATGAGCTCTTGGAAGAAGTCTCTTATTACCTGTATTCTGTCTGCTGGTACCTGTATTGGTGCTGTCATGTCCTCTGATTTCGCTGATTGGATCGGTCGTCGTACAACCGTCGTTCTTGGCTGCTTCATCTTCATCATCGGTGTCATTCTCCAAACCGCTTCCCACGGCCTCGGCCTCCTCGTTGCTGGCCGTCTCGTCGCTGGTTTCGGTGTAGGCTTTGTCTCCGCCACCATCATTCTGTTCGTTGCCCCCAATCGTTCTGTTTTATGGGAATATACTAACAGTAAAAAGGTACATGTCTGAGATTGCACCAAAGAAGGTCCGTGGAGCCATCGTCAGTGGTTACCAATTCTGTGTGACTATCGGTCTCATGTTGGCCTCTTGCGTCGACTATGCTACCCAGAACCGCACCGATACCGGCTCGTACCGTATTCCCATTGCCATCCAGTTCTTGTGGGCTCTCATCCTCGGTGGTGGTCTTCTCTTCCTCCCTGAGACCCCCCGATTCTTCGTCCGCAAGGGACAACTCGACAAGGCTGCCCACGTTCTTGGTCGCCTCAGAGGCCAGCCTATTGAGTCTGACTACATCCAGAATGAGCTTGCTGAGATCGTTGCCAACCACGAGTATGAGATGAACATCATCCCTCAATCTGGCTACTTCAACAGCTGGGCGAACTGCTTCCGTGGCTCTCTCAAGCATCCCAACAGCAACCTTCGACGAACAATCCTTGGTACCTCTCTTCAGATGATGCAGCAGTGGACTGGTGTGAACTTCGTCTTTTACTTCGGTACCACCTTCTTCCAGCAGCTGGGCACCATTCAGAACGCCTTCCTGATCTCCATGATCACCACCATCGTTAACGTCGTCTCCACTCCCATTTCCTTCTGGACTGTCGAGAGGCTTGGCCGTCGTACCCTGCTCATCTACGGTGCCGCAGGTATGGTTGTCTGCCAGTTCATTGTTGCCATCATTGGTGTCTGCACCGACAGCAACGCCGCTGTCTCCGCCATGATTGCCTTTATCTGCATCTACATCTTCTTCTTCGCCTCCACCTGGGGTCCTGGTGCCTGGGTCCTGATCGGCGAGATCTTCCCTCTTCAGATCCGATCCCGTGGTGTCGGCCTCTCCACCGCCTCCAACTGGCTCTGGAACCTGATCATCGCCATCATTACCCCCTACATGGTCGACGAGGACCAGGGTAACATGGGTCCCAGGGTCTTCTTCCTCTGGGGAAGCTTGTGCGCCTGCTGCTTCGTCTACTCCCTGTTCCTCGTCTACGAGACAAAAGGGCTTTCCCTTGAACAGGTCGATATGATGATGGAGGAATCGACGCCATGGACTTCCGCAAAGTGGGTGCCTCACGAGACATTCGCTTCCAAGATGGGCATGGCCGAGGAGAAGAAGAATATTGAGCACGCTGAGCACGAGGATGTGTAAATGGAAATGGAAGGAGTTGTTAGGTTGAAATAGCACTTATGAGTGCGAAAAGAGGCAACCCGAGTCGAGAGACTCGCATGTCTCCAGTGTAATAGCTGTATATTACGTTAATGTGTCATGAATAAACCAGCGCACAGCGCTATATGAGTTCTTTAAAGAAATATTCCAATTCATGCCTGCCACACGTGCATAAGAGGGTATTCGCACTTAAAGAAATTATTGTTAAAAGTCATCCAGACGTCTTACCTCGCCTGGGTTTTAATCCTGCAACTAGATATCTTAACGGGGGAAGACTGGTAGGAAGCCTCATGAGGGTACGTTGTAGGTGATCATGAAATAGGGCGCATTCACAAAATCTACCAGATTATTATATGTGCCAGTGATAGTAAACAAATATGTGTTTAGTACTCTACTGTACCCGTTGCGAGATACCATTACCCCGTTTACTACTGAGTTGGGGGAGCAG